CAGCAGCCAGAGCAGCCGCCCCCTGTCCATCTCTTAGTTGCAGCTGTAAAAGCAGCCCCCACGGACAAAGCGAAGCCCACCAAGAAGTTGGAGGCCAAGCCTAAGTCGTCGGGGGTGTCCTTTGTATCAACTATCCCACCAGAGCAGCAGGTGGCAGTATACCAGCTCCAGCGCACGGCTTTACAGAAGGGGTGCGAAGCACTAGAGCAGCAGGTTGCGCCTTTAACAACCCAGCTAGAGGCAGCCAGGGCAGCGCTGACGACCCTAGAGAAGCGTCAGCGTACCTGAGGAGGGAGCAGCAGCAGGAGGCAAAATAGCAGCAGCAGCAGCAGCAGCAGCTGATTAGTAGCAGGGCCCCCTTCCCCCTCCTTTCCTGCCCCGTCGTCATGCCTCCACTTTCCCCGTGGCGTCTCCATCCTCCACCCTCTTCCCTGTGGCTCTCACAATGATCTTAGGTCATAGTTTGAGCACAGGCCCGTCCTCCTGCTCTGTTTCTTCCTTCACCACTTCTCTCGGGACGATCTCGGATCGTGTATTGAGAGTGGCTCCCTTCTCTTCTCCCTCTCCTTGCCAGGGGGATTTGGAAGGCAGACGGGCGGGCCCTCCCCTCTCCTCCCTCGCCCATCGTGCTTCTGGGCCGCGGAGGCGCTCCCAGGCGCTGGGCTGCCCGCCTGTGGCCCCTCGGCCCAGTAGCAGCGGATACGGGAGGGTGGCAGGGGACAGCAGGCAGACAGTGGGGGGGGAGAGAGCACACGAGCGAGAGCGCCCGCTCGTCCTCGCGCTGGGCCACGCCGTCCGCAAGTGCGGCAAGGTCAGCGCCAAGGACTAGGCGCATTGGAGACGGGAGGGTTGTGGGCCCTCCCCATCTCCTCCCTTAGGGGCATGCTGTGCTGGCGCGACATGTCTTATGGAAACAGTGGAAACAGAGGGAGGGAGGAGAACGACGACGACGACGACGAGGACGAAGAGGATAAGCAGTATGAGGGGATCGGTGTGAGCACAACGAGAATGAGGGAAAGGGGGGGCAGCAGCAGCGGCCGCTGCGGTAGGAGCAGAAGCAGGAGCACGAGCAGGAGTGGGAACATGAGCGGGAGCAGGAGGTAGAAGAAGAGGAAGCTGAGGAGAAGGACAGAGAGGGTACTTAGGGGGAGGGGGGGGGGAGGGAGTCTAAACAACCGTCTAGGGAGACTACAAGGGCCCTGGTCACCAGACAGGCCCACAGCATTGAGGTATCGAGGAGGGAGGGAAGGGGAGGAGAGGAATGGGAGAGGGAGGAGAGGAAGGGGAGGGAGGCGGTTGAGGAGGGGTGGCATGAGCCAGAGCACAAAGAGCAGGAGTAAAGCGGAAAAAAGGAGGATGAGGAGGGGGAAGGGGAAGGTGGGAGAGGGAGAGGAGGAGGGAAGGACGGAGACAACGATGACCGCGGCGGCGGCAAGGACACGGAGGAGGAGGAGGAGGACAAGGAGGAGGACGAGGAGCAGGAGGGGGAGGAGGGAAAGGCGAGGGCAAACAAGGGGAGCAACCAGGAGCAGCAGGAGGAAGCAAAGGGGAACGCTGAGTGCGCTTGCGCTGCACCGAGGAAAACGCCGGACGCCAAAGAGGACGCCGACCATACACCAAAAACGATCCTGGCGAGGCCAGCATCGGTATTGGTTATGGCTTCGGAGAATACAATAGGAGCTCGACCACAACAATCCTTCCACAAGAAACCCAACCCTGGAACACCAGGACGTCCAGGGATGTTTGGTGTGGGAACGTCACGCTTTCCATGGCAAAACCATCGAAGCTCAAGAAACCCAAGGCACTCTGGAGGCAAACAGAGTGTTTCTTGGCATGGGTTTCCACTGTAATGCAACACCGATGCCGCCACTCCCCCGAGATCTCCCGGGTGAATTCTCACCAAAATCTCGAGGCGAATGCAGCTATGGTGACGACGGCCCCCTGGAAAGCCCACGAGGGCCAAAACGAGGGAAGGATCGCGGTATCGGTCTCACTGGCTCTGCTTCTCCTGGTTGGACCCAGGTGACGTCATCCGCTGACCGCTCAATGCGATGCACTTCATTCAGGCCCCACTCCAAAGAGACACGCTCTGCCCCGAAAGAACTGCGAAGAGACCCCAGGTAACCATCGGCATCTTTCCCCCCTCTGATGGCTGGAGTCCCCCGACGATGGGCGACGCCCCGCCCCTCCCGCGCACCAGAGCAGCAGCTGCGGCGAGGGCTGGCAGGCCCGAGGCCATGCGCGCCAGCGACGGCTGGCGCAGGCGCCCGCCCGAGAAGGGCCGGCAGCTGGGGGTTCAGTGGGCAGGGGGAGGGAAAGGACCTGCGCGGCTCCGATCGAAGGACCGACCAAGAGGCTGGGAGGCTGCGAAGAGGGACGAGGGAAGAGGGAGGAGGAGGAGGAGGAGGAGAAGGAGGAGGAGAAGGAGGAGGAGGAGAAGGAGGAGAAGGAGGAAGGAGGAATAGGAGGAAAAGGAGGCAGAATCAAAGTGAGGCAAGCCCGCAAGCTTGAAGGCAGCTGGCGCCCACGCCCCAAGATGACAACGACGACGACCGGCGGCGCGCTGAGGGAGACGGGCGAGGGGGACGGCCTTACGAGAAGGCAAGGGTGCTTGTCGGAAGAGGCCGGGCGCTTGAGGCAGGAGAGCTTGCAAAAGGGAACTTGCCTTCTCACTAAGGCCGCCACATCGCACCGCCCCCGTCTGCGCGTCACCGACGGGGAGGGGGGTATTTAGTGAAGGAGCAGGAGAGGCGCTGCTGGGCTCCTGGTCGGTCTCCCTCCCCCGCGTCCAAGAGGGGGGCGTCCAGGAGACGGGGGCGCAGATCATGGCCCGAGGCGCGTGCGCGGCCGGGGAGGGGGGGGGGGGGGCAAGGGGCGCATTGAAATAAGAAGAGGCGCCATGAACTCTGGGGAAACACCATGGCCCTGGCCTGGCCATGATATCCACCCCCCCTTATCACCCCCCCCCAGGCCTCCTCGCGTTGTGAAAAAAATCGTGGCGGGGCCACTCCTCCTCCTCCTCCTCCTGCTCCTCCTCCTCCTCCTCCTCCTCCTCCTCCTCCTCCTCCTCCTCCTCCTCCTCCTCCTCCTCCTCCTCCTCCTGCTTCTCCTCGTCCTCCTCCTCCTCCTCCTCCTCCTCCCCCCCCTCCCCCTTGGCGTTGACCGGTCGGCCGGATCCAGGCACTTTCGCAAGGTGCCCCTCCCCCCCGCCCGACCGAGCGGGTGGGCGGGGGGCAGGGCCGCGGCCCCGAGGCCACAGGGCGCTCTCCTGGCCCAGAAGGGGCAGCCAGGCAGCTTCATGGCTGGGCGGAGGAGCTTGACTTCGGGTTCGAACCGGAGGAGGAGGAGGAGGAGGAGGAGGAGGAGGAGGAGGAGGAGGAGGAGGCGGAGGCGGAGGCGGAGGCGGAGGCGGAGGTGGTGGGATCATCGCGCCGCCTTCGCCGCCTTGGAAGGCCTCGTGCCGCCTGCGCCGTGCCCCGGAGGAGGAGGAGGTGGAGAAGCGCTCGAGGGCGACTGGCGCTCCCGGGACGCCGAGGAGTGGCGGGGGCTCTGGCGCTGCTCGGGGAGATCCAACCGAGCCTCAACACGGCCCCAGGGGTCCCCACGAGGCCCCAAAGAGGCCCCACGCGGCCCCTGGGAGACCCTACAAAGAGGCCCCAAGACGGCCCAAAAGGTCCTCAAGAAAACCCAAAGACGACCCGAGAGAGCCACATCGACCCTGCAAGCCCCCAAGAGGCCCAGAGACCCTACAAGGAGGCCCCTAGACGGCTCAAAAGGTCCTCGCGAAAGTCCGAGGACGACCCGAGAGAGCACTATCGGCCCAGGTACGTTGACCACGCATGGCAGCAGGTCGGCGGTTGCCGAGAGGCGATACCAGCCCAAGGTGCCGACAGCTTTCCGCGTCACTTTGGAAACCCAGGATGCTCTGGAGGCCGTCCCGGCCTGCGTGGAAAACCGTTGGCCACCTTGGGCCGGGGCCACCTCTGGCAACTCCCCAGCTCTGAGGAACCGTGGTACACTCGTGGCGGGGGATGGGTCTCGCCCCGCTCGCGCGCAGCCCGGCGCGAGGATCCTGAAGTTCACAGCCCTGCGCCGCACTGAGGGGCATCAGGACGGCACTCCCGAGGACCCTTCGGTGCCGCTGGGCGCGCGGCGCCAGAGCCATAGGCAGGCCCCGACCCCCCTCCCCTGCAGGGCGGCTTCGCGCCCCGGATCCATAGCGCGCATGGTCCCGGGGCCTGAGAACGGGCCACAGAGGCCGAAATCGAGGAGACCCGGCCGCGGCCGAGTTGCCCCTCGAGTGGACTCAGCGGCCGAGGGCTTCGGCCTCAGGAGGCGGCGGGGGCGGAAGCAGAGACGTCGGGGCGCGCGAATCCGGCGGGGCTGCTCTTCCGGCGTCTCTCGCAGGCTGGGGTCTCTCAGGAGGCCGTCTGCAGGCTCCCGGGCCAAGCCCGACATTGCCCTCAGAAGTGCACCAGCATCCTCACCACCACCACCACTACCACCACATCAATCGTCATCACTGTCGTCCAACACCATCACCACCACCACCCCCATCACCACCATCACCACCACCACCATCCCCTTCATCGTCATCATCATCGACGCCGTCATCGCCGCCATCATCGCCAGGAGGACGGAGGAGTGAGGGCGGGAGAGAGAAGGGAGAGAGAATGGAGAGAGAGAGAGGGGAGGGAGAAGGGAGGAAGGAGGAGGAATGAGGAAGGAGGAGGGAGGGAGGAGGCAGGGAGAGGGAAAGAGGGAGAGAGAGAGAAAGAGAGTGAGGGAGTGAGGAGTACGAGAACGGCGCCCATGCACTGCACCATGTTTGGGCTCGCTCCAGGCCCCGCTCCAACGCGGTATGCTGCATACTTCGTTGCTCTGGGTCCGAGGGACGATAAACTGTGCGCCCCCAGCACGCGTGGCAGGCGGGCGCGCGGACGGTGCGCCCGCGCAGCACCTTCTCGACGCCAGCCCCCTCGAGGCGCGCGACCACGGACTCAACCGCTGCGTCCTTCTCGGC